TTTTTTTTTTTTTTTTATAAGACATCACAACTAAATAGTTGGAAAAAACTGTTCTGTGCAAGCTTTCAGGTGCAAACATCCTTCTTCATAGGGGATACACCGACAGCCATCCCTCTGCTTGAAGAAGTGCGTTTGTGCCCGACAGCTCACAAAGAACAATTTTTCCGACTATTTAGTTGGTCTAATAAAAGAGATCACAACTGAATAGGTGGGAAAAAAGTGTCCTTTGCAAGCTTTTGGGGGGTGCTTGTGCCCAAAAGCTTGTAAAGAACAACTTTCCAACTATTTAGCTGTCTTTTATTAGACATTGCAATTAAATAGTTGGAAAAATTGTTCTGTGCAAGCTTTTGGGTACAGACATCCTTCTTGAAGCGTATGGTGAGTTTGTTAGTGCCCTTATCCTTGAAGAAGGGTATGGTGCCTGCAAGCTTCCAAAGTTCAGTTTTTTTCCAGCTATTTAGTTGTCTAATAAAAGATATCACAACTAAATAGTTGGAAAAAATTGTGTGTTGCAAGCTTTCAGGGGTGTTTGTGCCCAAAATTTTGCAAAAAACAATTTTTCCAACTATCACAAATAAGTAGTTGAGAAGATTGTTTTTTGCAAGCTTTCGGGAATGTTTGTACCCAAAATTTTGGAAAGAATGATTTTCCTATCTATTTAGTTGTCTAATAAAAGATATGAATTTTCATTTCTACCTTGGAGAACTTTTATAATCTTTGCAATTGCCTGTGCCTGAAAGCTTGCGAATAAATAATTTTTTATTGCAAATATCTAGTTGGTCTAATAAAAGATATCACCTCTGCCACAAGTTTTGCTTCCTAATATAAAGTAACATATTTACCCAAAGAGCCTTGTTATCATATGATTGTTGCTTCTATGTTTACTTGGAAGACCCCTTGGGAAGCAGGTAGTTTAAAAGTCAGCTTGAGTTCAGCACTCTGGCACATTAGTGACCATGTCAAATAATCCTCTCGTGATCAAGAATAAGTGCGTTTCAGCCTCAGATCTAACTTTTTTTTCTGAGCCATTGCTCTTTATTAGTAACAGGTGTTCTTGTAGGCATGTGAAAGTCTTTGCCTTGTGCATGTTTCTACCAAAATGCTTTTCCTTTCCTTACAGTGAGAGTTCAGAATGAGCTATGCAGAAAAACCTGATGAAATCACAAAAGATGAATGGATGGAAAAACTCAATAATTTGCACATCCAGAGAGCAGATATGAACCGCCTTATCATGAACTACCTTGTTACAGGTAACGGTGAACAGCGGGTATTAAATTTGGGAGGTTGGACTCTTCTGGATCAGATCCTGTGTGTCACATCATAAAAATGAATGACATTTTATTGAAAAGTATTATTAATTGGGTGCCATTAATTGCTATAGCAAACACCAGTATTTGCTGTGGCTTCTCTTAGCAACATATCAGCTCATTACTGTTCTTTTGAGCAAAAATAAAACGTTTTGGCTTTGGATATAATGTTGAGCTCTCCAGTCTCTTTTTAATTGTAACAATTTTGTCTCTTATGGCACTAGTGCTTTGGAATACGTCATTACCCCAAGTTGTATAGAGCTTAATATCACACTGTTTTTATAAAAATGGAAAATTCTGGTGCTCCCTACCAGTATAATTTGAATTGTGCCTTTCATCACAAAGTAAAAAAAGACTACTAGAAACCATCTTTAGCTAACTTGACTGAACATAATTGCAAGAGGACACTGATCTCTTAAACATTTTTATCCTTATAAGCTTCTATATCAGATTTGCCATCCAGACACTGAACTTTAAATTGAGAGGGACAAAAACCCCTTGGAATTTGGCAGTTATGACATAGTCTATTGGCAAACTGTACCAGGGTGGAGCCATTAACAGGCGGTCTACACCCATATTTATGTCCATGTGCAACAGGAATCTAAGTGATAGGAAAACAATTAAATATTCAGCCATGAATCACTTGTATGTGTGTGTAAGTCAGAGCTATATGGTTTTGATCAGGGACTTATTTGTCACTCCCCCACTGATGAACAAGAAATTTGTGTAGTGTACAAACTAGAGTACACAGTCTTTTGGTTTTTATATATGTTTACTAAGGATATTTAAATAAGTCATCACCATCTTTTGCCAAGGTCTTTTCTGGCAAGGAATAACCAAGCCTACCTATTTGACTGCCATTCTGTTTTCAGGTATGGGGTCAGCAGAAGATTTCTGAAGACATTTTGGTTTGGTTTGGTTTAATTCTACCCTTCAACTCCTTAGAAATGGCATAGAATTTAGAATGTAAAATGTGAAGTCTTTCAAAAAATACTATCTTAATTTCATTCTCCCTCTTAGATACCTAATAGTTAATTGTTTTTTTTAAATCTCAATGTTTTATTTACAAAAATGCTTACTCTATTGAAAAGATTACAAATAAAATTGGGGGCCTTTGTACATGTTTGAAAAAGTTGGCTTATTAGATTTTGGAGGTGAAATGTTTTCGTTACAGAGGGCTTTAAAGAGGCAGCAGAGAAGTTTCGAATGGAGTCTGGAATTGAGCCCAGTGTTGACCTAGAGACTCTGGATGAAAGGATAAAAATTCGAGAAATGATACTGAAAGGACAGATTCAAGAAGCCATTGCATTGATAAACAGTCTTCACCCAGAACTGCTGGATACAAACAGATACCTTTACTTTCATTTACAGGTAAGACCCAGTGGTGAGCAAATGCTGAATTTGTTTTGTATCAGGAAAAGCGTGGAGGCGGTGAAGAAAAGTTGTAATTGCAAGAGCTTTCTAATATGCAGTGGGTTGCAGTTTTAAAAGTCTATCTTCGTACATGAACTGCAAGGGGAATTTTGTGGCATGGAGTGCAGTCATGTTCAACTTTACCATGTTTTACAAACTTTCCAATTGCCAATGTTTAATCATGTTTTCTGGCAGCACTGTACACCAAAGTTTTCTTTGAAAAGGTTTCAGAAGATTCCAAAACTCTTCTGCAGAATAGGGCTAGCTTTACTATTACTTGCGAGAATTGAAATTCCAATTGCATTTCTCATCAACAAAATACCCCTTTTAAAAGTGTTGGTACATAATGTAATAGTCCCTATATATTAAACACTTACCCAACAAGTACATGGAAAAATCTTGCTTTCTCTTTCACATACAGCAGCAGCATTTGATTGAATTGATTCGGCAACGTGAGACAGAAGCAGCCTTGGAATTTGCCCAAACTCAGTTGGCAGAACAAGGAGAGGAAAGCAGAGAATGCCTGACAGAAATGGAGCGCACCCTGGCATTGCTGGCTTTTGATAATCCTGAAGAATCACCATTTGGAGACTTGCTCAACATGATGCAAAGGCAGAAGGTACAGTTGTCTGAGATGAGAAGCATTTCCCATGTATGTTCTCTGTGAGAGCTGGGATTTCATATTTTGCACAGAACAGAATTCTAGTGGCAAAACTTGTTATGATAGCAATATTTTTAAAATATGCATGAATTCAGATCATGTGAAATACTCCACGTTACATTATTGTTTTGCCCCTCTCTTAATAGCAGGGTTTTTGTTTTACTTCTTAATTTTTGTCCACTGTAAATTTCAAAGTGTTGAAAACTATGCCATTACACAGCTCCCTTATTCAAAAATAGGTGTGTATTTCCCTTTTAACTGGCTTTCTAGTCTCTTGCAAATGCAAACCAAAACCACTTTGCTGGTTTATATAATCCCTTGAGCTTGTTGCTTCTGATCAGCTCCTTGACTGACTTCCTGATGCTGCTGCTATCCCTAGAGTTTTGGGAGTTTTTTTATCTGGCACTTTTTTTGTATGGTACTTGGTTTTTTTTTGTTTGTTTGTTTGATTGGAACTCAAAAGCCACAGAGTGAGATCATGAGAGCAGCACTTTGTGTACTTTGGGCATTCTCTCTCAATTAATCTAGAGAATTACTACTAAATTCAGTATTTCTTTTCCAGGTATGGAGTGAAGTTAACCAAGCTGTTCTAGACTATGAAAACCGTGAATCTACGCCCAAGTTGGCCAAATTACTGAAATTACTACTGTGGGCGCAGAATGAGCTGGACCAGAAGAAAGTCAAATATCCCAAAATGACAGACCTCAGCAAGGGGACAATTGAAGAACCCAAGTAAATATGTGCAGATGGACACCAAACAGTTTAAGTTCTGCACAGTATACTTTATATCAGTCTGTGACTGAAATATTTTTACTACAGTACAGCGCTCAATTCAGATTTTTTTTTTCCAATGAACATCTTATTTAAAGGGACAATCCCTTTTAAATGCTGCAAAACTGCATTGAAAGGCACTGTATCTCTTGGAAAGTCTGATTTAGGCTATGCACTATAATACATTTTTAAAAAAAACAACTAAACAGGAACAGAAACAACTTTTTTAAGAGTACAGTATTCAAGGATTCTTGTTGGCTACTGATGCTTAGTTTAGTGGCCAACCAGTTATATTGGCAACAATTCAGTTAACTGTCTCCCATTTGAAATGTATATAGAGCAGTGAATATTTTCTACTTTAAGTTATAGGCAGACATGTATTCCTCTTAAAACTAACAACTGGCCAATTTTCATCTATAAACATAACGTAAGGTCAATGTCTTGCCTAGGAAATAGTGTATAAACTTGTAAATCATAATTTAAGGACTTGTTTCTGACTCTGGTGCTTTATATGGTGAGAGTTATGTTTGCAATGGATCAGTGACCCATCTTTTCACAAAAAAAGTATTGCTGGAAATAAGTTTCTCTTTAAGTTCAAGAAAGACCAGAATGGCCTCTTCAAAGCAGGCGTTGCATTATATTTAGTAACTGGGACTTTTGATCAGGGATTTATTTCCCTGTATAAATGTCCACCTTTGTAACAATGTCTGTGTCAGCTGGTTACTACAGCCTTTTGTAAACAAAGGATGTGATGCAATCCCTAGAGATTGAGGTCCGTTGTAGGCTTTATTGAGTGTCTGCTTTTGTACAGAATCTGTCTTTCTACTTGCAGATTGGCTGTTAAGTATAAGGGATGTCGTTTGTAAGGCTAGTTATTCTTGCATCTTATGCCTTGGCTGAACAGAACAGTTGTTTGTAAAACCTTTTTCCATATCTGTTCCAAGAGATGTAGAGTTCATCTTCCCCTGTAATATTGGTTGTTTTTTCCCCACTCCAGTTAGGAAAAGTTATAACAATAATTCTTATCTTACACATGAAGCCCTGATCATTTTGGGTTTGTTTTTTTTATCATCTGGGTATAGAAGGTTTTGCTGTATGTATGACTTTTACAGCACTGTGTACTGGTATATCCAGTAGTATTTAGCACTAATCTTGCCAAATCAAGAGCTAGATCCTGTAAAACAGTGTATTGAGTTGTTGCAAATGGTATTGAGTTATTGCAGAACTGCTGAGCAAAGACCAGTTTGGAGGAAATAGCAGAACATCACAGTACGCTGGCAATTATGTCATACCAGTCACATAGCGTAGATGCTGTAGTCATGTATGGTAGCTATTACCCTGTAGAATTAAACTTAGTTTTCACTTACTTTACTGGAATACTTACGCATTAAACTGTATAAAGCTTTGCAGATACATATGACTTAGGGAAACAAGCTAACAAAATCTGTTACTCATTGAATTACTGTGAACACTGTTTACTTGTGTAGCTATTTTCTGGGGAGACAGTTGTCTATAAAGCAGTTAGAGAGATACAGAACACCAAGGATAAGCTAGATGATGGGTGTAACAAAAGGAGACTATGGTTCTGTCCCATTTTTACTACTGATCATTTTGCCACTGAGGCGTTCACCATGCACAATTATTTTATAATCCCTACAAAACAGTAGTGAGCTATCATTGGCTTCCACTTGCTGTAATGGATAGGCTTTACTTCACCCTGGTTGATTATTCTAACAGTTTACCTAAATGTCTATGATGCAAATTTGTTTTCAGTCAGTTGCTTTTTAAAGACCATGTATATTACTTTGTTTGCAATAATCTGTATGGTTAATATAACCTTGTTTAATAACAAACTGCAAAAATGAAACTGGAACTAGATTTAATTTCTTCATGTACAACTGACAGTTTTTCTCCTGTCTGACCCTTGTGTGCTGAATCTCATCTAAAGCTTCTCCAGGATGAAATGGAAAGTGCATTTTTGTGGCATGACTAGCATTTTTCTCCATGAGAAATGCAGTACTGCAGTCCTGGCTGAGAAGTTCACCATACTTTTAAAATGCTCCATTAATTATTAGAGTATATTGGGCAGATACTGAGCATAGGTTACTTGAATTTTCATTAGCTTGGTTTTTTTCCATTAAAAATAAACATGTTTTTCTAGGGGGTTTAATATAAAATTTTAGTATAGGATTATTTCACTTTGTTTTTATGAACATGCCACATTGATAAGCAGCTTTAATCTGTAAAGTTTTTGGTAACTGCAAGAAAATATTTGAAAGCTATGCATTTTACAGAAAGCATAAAGGTAGTCATAATGGTACTTCTAAGGATCTTTATATTAGTGTATATAAAATAGTTTGCATATACAAATATAATATATTATCTGTTTGAAATATTCTGGAGTGGTAGGGGCTGTGAAACATAACTTATGGAAATATTGTACACAGTAAACACCTCTGTCAATACACGAATGAATTTGTCATATGCATGAGAAATGTCTTATTTGGTGACTACTAATGAATGGGTTTTTGTTAACCCCGTTATTGTTAGATAACCACTTTGACAAATAACATTAAATGCCACTTTGATCAGTTTGCTCTTAGTGTAAAATATATACAGATATATTTTTGTTCCACTTTACATATCTTTAAGAAGGTACAAATAACTTTTGTATGAATGGTGTGGCAGCATCTATGCTTTGTTCTGAACTCAGTGGCGACAAACATAGTAATGAAATGTCAGAAGCTACTCACTCACCCCTCTCCTGCCCTCTTCCTTGCCAAAAACAAAGGCTTTTTTGTATTAATGCTGTGAACATAAAGTAGTTGCATCATTGTGAAATATCCTACCTTGTCCTTTGTAAGAAAGAAAGAAAGAAAAAAACCTTGGCAAATATATTCTGGTTAGGAGATCAACTTTACACCTCTCAGAGTGATAAAACTGCCTAATTATTTCTACCTCTTGGTAGTTACTATGTTTCTGTTTTGCCAGTCCAATTGGAAAGGTACATTTGTACTTGCTTCTGTTGTACATTAGAGCCATCCATGAAGGACAGGGAGTGATGGATTTCTATATATGTGAAATACGAAGAGAAGAGCTTTTCTTCCAAAGTACTATTTACAGAGCTGTCTAACCTCTTGCATTACCAGGGAAGAACTGGTGGTTGTTGCCTGGAAACCAGTATGAAGGCGAACGTACGGATGGGATTTTTGTCTTGAACTCTTGGAGAAGCAGATATAACTCATTAGTAGGAAGCTATCTGAAGAGCAAACTGAGGTGGAATCTCTTCTTGAATAATGTCTCACTCTCACAATTTTAACTTCAACAGCACAAGCACATGAAGAAGTTTGCCAGAAAGTGTGTGTGTGTGTGTGTGTGTGTGTGTGTGTGTGTGTGTGTGGCTGTATATGAAGTATTTTTTTTTTTTAGCCAAACATGAAGATAACACTGACATTTGTTTTTCAGTTGTACTGTCCCAAATACTTCTTTTTGTTTTAAGCTTTTTTTTGTAAAATCTCTCTGGTTTGCATAGTTGAGTGCAAGTTAAACTATGTTTTTAAAATTGTGTTTTGCCTCAGCTTATTTCAAAATACCTTCTAGCACAAAGACATTTAAGTTGGAGAGCAGTCTGTGTCACATTTTCTTGATGGCCCTGGCTTGCAGGCAGTCTTTTTAGGAATGCCCTTACTATTTGCCAGGACCTAGTCTTAACTTGGTCCTACTGTTCTACAACTGGCTTCCATGCTAGACCCCCCCCCCCCGCTTGTTATGGCTGCAAAGCACCTCCATGTGGGTTCAAGATCCTTTCTGGGAGTTCTACGTCTTAAAGAAGTGATGCAGCTAGTAAGTATTTGCAGCAATGCAGCCCGGCCATCTCAAAGCAAACCAGTAGTTATTAGCATGTATAGTCCTTAGGTTGGTATGAAGCAGCCAAATTTAACCAGAGCAGTCGTTTACATACAGAGCCAGGAGGGTTTTGGGGTGTCTTCTCCCCAGTGGTAGTATCATCATGACAATAAATCTTCTGTCGTCATAGGAAGCCACTTAAAACGTGTTGCCCCTATCCATATATATGGATTTAGTTCGGTCCTTGAGTACACATTTGTACTAACCCAGTCATGTTCAGGAGCTAGCAATACAAAGCCAGTGTGTAAATTGTCATAAATAGGTCAAAAAAAATTTCCACACTTGCTACATCTAGATATTCCTAATGGGTTTTTTAAATGTGAAAGTGAAGATTTGCAAGGGTTGCTTTACCTGGAATATTACTGTTTTAGAGCAAATAAAAATTTACGTTAACACTCAGTTTTCCTTTCCTGCCCTATCTTTCTCTACCATATATACCATATAGCAGCAAAAAAGGAGATTAAGTACAACAAACTTTGTGTCAAATGGAGCGTATTCTTCCCTAGCCTAAGTGTTTCAGCATTGGGGATGAGTGATGAAAGGAGAGAATTTTTTAGTTGGAAATAGACAGTTTAACCGAAACTGTAGAGAGAGAGAGCTTAAGGCCTGGTTCACAACTGAACCTTGTAAGTGAATGTCTCACCTATAAATGGTGCGAAGTTGGAACTTGAGATATGAAGCCATTTTCTAAACATACAGGCTAGCCTCCGGGCCAACTTTTCCACATTGGCCTATCCCAGTGCCATACTTCTTACCTATATTCTGAAAAAAACCCACTCCTAAAGGGAAGGTGGAATGCCCAATTGTAATCAGTAGTTTAGTTAGGGGACTGATGCAACAAACTGTTATAACTTTCAATCATTGCAGAGTTGGACCAAACAGGAACTAATGCTATGAGGTAAGTTGTCTTATTTCAAAACCCATCTTAATAATCCCACCCTCCATTTATTTGTAATGCCCTTGGGACTGCACAGGAGCATAAGATAACCTCTTCCTTGGACTTCCACGCCAGCATCTATAGACAACGTCTTAGTTAACTGTATTTTCCTTTGATCGTTGTACCCGGCTTATCCTTATAGCTAGGCCTTTCCCATTTTGCAAGTGAAAGCTGTTCATGTCAGCAATGGGTTAATATTTTCCAGTGAAAGACTAACTATGCATAAGCATGTCTTTAAAAAATGGATGGAAACTATACAAAAGACTTAACAATTTTTATGTGGGATTAATTACAGGCTAGAAGAAGCTGAATAAAGTAATAGCTTCCATTCTAGTGTATGTGTAGGGTGGATGAGGTGCTTGGGTCTACCAGTGCTAAGAGCATAAATGCCTAGATCGGTTTTGCTTTATTAGCCCTTCCAACTTCTGCCCTGTCTACCTTCATATGTGCTGTTTGTACTTTGTTTCTCCTGTAAATATTGGTCTATTCCTTCTAAAATTTTCTTCTTACAAAATTATAACTACTTCTTGCAACCTGCCCTAGCTCTGTGAGTTTTTACACCTCACTTTTGAACTTTGGGTATTTGCATGTAATTTGTAGTGTCTTCTGGTCTTCACTTAGTCTCTTCCCTCCTCAAATTCATCTCAAACCCATGTTATGTTTTTCAAAAAGTATCAATCCAATTTCCTAACCTTTGCCATCACTGATAAAACTCTTGATATCACCTTGTCTTATGTGACACAGCTCCCTCTTCTGGAAAAAAAACGAGTCCCTCCATCAGCATCTTTGAATGGTATCTAAATATCATTATAAGGATTCTGTCCAATGGTTAATAGTTCATTCATTCCCTACTGCTACCAATTCCATAACTCTCATGTAGTGCTCCCAAAACCACTGTAAAAAATAAAATTGTTACCGTATGCTCTTTGTCATTACCACACCAGTTACTGTAATGCAAAGTATTATGTCAACATCCTTTCAAGAGAGTTGTCTGGTACATCCCTTGCCTCAATATTGCTGCCTGAAGGAATTAAACCTGTAGCAAGACACCCTTTTGTAGCATATTCCACTGTAGATATTATCGCTGAGCATTAACTATAGCACCTTCCTTAGGTGCTCAAACTCTAAACCTCATCTCTGTGATATTTTTAACCAAAGCAGCTAGCCAGAGTTCAGGGGTTTTTACATTTTAAATGAAGGAATCGGGTACTTGAGGCAACCTAGTGTGGTTACACGGGACATGTGTAGCTCTGGTTTTGTAGACAAAGAAATTAAGCCATAGAGACTGCTTGCTCACAGCATCCTGCTTGTACAGTGGACTCACCCCAACAACTTTTGCCTTTCCCAAGACCCAGGTGCCAGGCTTGTTCAAGTCATCTGCAAGCTTCCCCTGCAGTTTCTTATCCACACATGTAGCCCTGCCTAAAATGTTATTCGGTAAGATCCTCCGTCTTGAAGGTTCAGATTCCTAAAGGGACTCTCATATCCTTTTGCTTTGGGTGGAGACATGGCCCTGTGTTTGGCCTTCAGAGACTTGGTATTTCAAGCCCTTGCTTCCACACAGGAGTCTAATGGCAGACTGGAAGCCTAGAACCCGTCTTAATACTCCAGTACTCCAGCCTTTCAATCAGACTGCATGCTCTGAACTGAACAAGCTAGCTCACTAAAATAAAAGTGGGCAAGAAGCCATTCATTCATGCATGTGTGCATGTTCCATTCTTTTTATTTTGGGTGCTAAGTTGTATTTAGACCAACCACAGTGAATTCCCCTAGTCTGAGAGCTGCTGTCTATTGTGGAGGCGTTCACCTGCACCTTTGTTTTACCTCCCCCCGTGGAAACTTGTGGAACCATTTGCTTCATCTTCCAAGATGAAATGCATGCAGGAGCATTTCCAAATGGATGTACTAATGTCAACCCGCAAACAGGAATCTCAGTAACTGAGAGCACTGAAGGTAGGCATTGCCTTGAGACGGGTGGAGATGGGGTTGTTGTAATCGAAGAATGGCTGCAGATAGATTCATAGACACTCAGGCAGGAAGGGACCTCGAAGATCATCAAGTCCAGCCCCCTGCACCAGGGGCAGGAAGTATATCCAAGTCAACCCGGATCACTACCCTGTCCTCAGGTGTGTCGTTGTAATTCCTTCTATGGGTTATGGCTCTTGCTGTTGTGGGGAGGAACTGCTATGAGTTTGGCAGCCCCAGATCCCTTTGAAAAAAATCAGTAGCCTTAAGTCACAAGATGTTTGGGGTTGTATTTTGGACTGGCAGCACTAGGGAACAGAGGCTGAGTATGGAAGGCAGCTTTAGACTCCCTCTTTCTTGGTGTTGTGGGCAATCCTTCGATTCAAGAATGATCTCTGCCATGGCTCATGGATGGGTCTTGAGGTGCCTTAAGGGTCTAATCCTTGAGAGAGAGCTGCAGCTGCAGAAGTTGCAGGTCTTTCTGCAGTGGGGGTAAGCCATAGCCTAGGATTTCTCTCCTTTTCCTTCCTTCACTTTCTCTTCTCTGCTTCGTGGGTGAGACGCTCACTTGGTTGAGGTGGCAGCACCATTAGAGTCGATTGGCAGCCAGGTCCTCCCAAGTCTTGCATAGGCATGCGTTTTCTTGAGATCTGGCTTCAGTATGTCCTCATAGCATTTCTTCTGGTCACCGCTGGATTTCAGGCCCTTACCATGCTGGATTTAGGCTTAAACTACTCAAGATACAGTTTAGGGCCTCACAATATCAGGCTGGACCCGATGATCTGCTGGACCCTTCCAGCCCATAACAATCTATGAATCTATGAATGAATATGAGCGGCCTCTAAATAAGAAAAAACCCAACCCTGACTCACTATCAAGTTTTATAAAAGATAAAGGAGATATGGGAAAATGACTCTCTATGGACATTTTCATTCTAATATGACAAAAATATACATACATTGGATTATTTTTATCATATGGGGCCTCTTAAGCTGGACAGAGTCTAGGGCCTCAGCATGTCATAACCTGGCACCAGGCCCTTACTAAGCATCAGTTTTGGGAGCCAAGAGTCGGGCATCCATCCGCACGCGATCTTGGGTCCAGCGACTCAGTGCTGGCAACGCAAATCTCTTCCATAAACATAATGCCATTTGGATTAGGTTGCTAGGAGCATTATTGGGATTGCTCGCCTATTTGCCTTGCAGGCATTCAAACCCATCTGTGCTGCACAGGGCCCGATCCTCTGCAGTGCCAGGCACCCAGCCCAGGTTTCGTCTTTCCACCTGACAGGGTCCAGCTAATCTGTGCAGCTTCAGCATGACCTTTCCCTGCTGCTTGCTCTCTCTGAGCAGGCAGGTTGAAGTCGCTTCCTTTCTGACTCCTGCTTGCCTGCAGCCATCCACCCCCTTCCTTGGGTAAATGTGATCTCTTTGATTAGACCGGCTCAATAGTTGGAAAAATTGGTCTGTGTGTGGGGTGAATGCCACTAAGAAAGGGGATTTATGGCTTTGCATCCCCTCCTGCCTTGCTTGGTTTCTGCTCCTCCCAAAGGTCTGGGTCCCAGCGCTGCATCCCTTGCAGGGAGATGCCGGGTGCCCCTTGCAAACGTCCTGCCCCCAGGCTGCAGCTGCTTCCTGGAAGAGCTCCACCAGGAAGAGCTGCCGCAAACTGACACGTGGACTTTGTGTTGCACAAAATCCCCTGCGGATCGCTGCCATGGGACTTCCCTCCGCTGCCCGCCGCCTGCCCGCCTCGGCCTGACCCCCCGCCTGTTGCTCCGGGGACTTCTCCAGCCTTCACGCCAGCATCCCCCTGGGCAGCATCCTTGTGCTGCAGCAGCCAGCCAGCCGAGCCTGCCACTCAAGAACCAGCTACAGATCTTTGAATGGCCTCAAGTGGCAGCAAAAATGCTCTCCAGGTGTACAGCGCTTTGCACCACTGCCAACCCCAGCAGCCTGGGAAGCCTCCCTATCAGGAAGGCATGAGAAAAGATGGGACTGCGGATTGCTACTGGTCCAGGTAAGATGCGAGGCTTCGGCGGGGTTTTCTTTTTGGGACGCCGCGAAGTTTTGGCAAGTGGAGAGTCCATCCCCCGAGCTCGAGGGGTTTGGTGGGGAGCTGGACGTGCCAGCGGGAGCGTGTAAAAGGGAGGGGAAGAGAAGCTTGCTATGAAGAATTGTTTGAGTTGGTCTGATAATGTCCTTAGACTGACACGGCTACAACCTACGCCCCTGAAAAGGAGGGTGGCAGACAAGGTTCTTTGGGTAAATGTGATCTCTTTGATTAGACTGACTAAAGAGTTGGAAAATTTGGTCTTTGCAAGCTTTCGGGCACAAACGCCCTTCTTCAGGCATAGGGAGAGTCATTTTGGAGGGGAGGGTGTCACTTTGTACAGAGGGGCTAGGAGGGAGGGTGCTGGCTTGCTTCTCAGCAGACCTATGCGCTGCTCTTTGCTTTGCCACAGCCTTTCTATGCGACCTTGGGCAAGTCACTTATTCACTCTGTGCCTCAGTTCTCCCACTATACGGTGGAGATGCTAGTGCTGCCTATCCCCCTGGGTTGTCAGAAGACTTATCCTAACCCAGCTGGTGAGCTCCTCTAGGCCTGTGGTGATGGGTCTAAGATGGACACAAGCTTCCACTGCTATTTCAATCAGGCAGTATTTTAATAGTAAAGATAGTGCCAAACTACTTGACAGACAAAGATCCATCATGACTCAACTCTTTGCATTGTACATGTAACTGTTGCATTTTCTATGTTTAGTTTGCCCTGCATGTCATTTAAGCCATTACGAGCTTTTTAATAAAATGTCTTAGTAATTATATTTACGCTGACAGTAGTAACTGATTAAGATTGAATGCAGACAGCACAATAGTTGTTCCTCCAATTAAAAAAAAAAAGAAGAGTAACTTAAAAGAAAAAAGTAAACAGCTGTTTCCTGCCCCCAGCCGTGTATCCATGCTGAATGTCCTCAGTGGGGTGTCAACTGTAAGTGTCTAAAGCTAGACCCCTCTAAGAAAATCGTGTTTTAGAAAGGTATCACTGCTCAGTATTAATTAGCAGGGGCTTCTGCTGCACCGGTAGTTTTCGTTCAAACCCGAGTTGATTTGGGAAGCATTACACATATCCCTGGTAGTTTTGTATTCTGCTCCACGTGTACATAATATTGAACAACTGGCTCAAATATTGTGAAAGAGCCTAGTTGTATAAGTCTTGTGCCACGTGGATGTTGTATGCTTTCTATCACAAGAGGTACCAGCTTCCTGATTGCCATCTCTAGATGTGCTCAAAAGACTCCTGCTGCCACTGCTACTCATTTATCTTGTCTGGGACTCTGTAACTAATAATCCGGGCCTGGGTAATGAAGCAAAAATGAATGTTTTTAACAACAGTAATGTATATACATTCAGGGCGCTCTTGTGGTCTGAGCACAGTTTTAGGAGGCAAAGCAATACCGTATTCTAACGTCTAATGACAAAGTGACTTTCCCTGCGGTGTGAGTCCAGTTAACTTTTTGCAGCTGTTCCAGTGACTTAGCTGATTGCTGTGAGAAGTAGTTGGTTAACAGTGAAATGCTTGGGACTGATGACAGCTATGCCTAATTGGCAGATGCCTTGCAAAACTGAAATCTCCTGATGGTCGGAATTTGTATTCTTATTTCAGAAAGATGTGTGATTCTTAGTAAACAATGAATGCACAAGCGTCGGTGCATCCGGGGGAAGAGAGGTGGCTCGTCTCCTGCGCTGTGAAGAGCAGCTGAATCTAAAACCTTCCCTACCCCACACAGTACAACGGTGCCGTTCACTCACTAAAGTCCTTGAGCCCAGAGATGTTGGGAAATCTGCAGGTGTCAGGCAGCTAAATACATTTGAAAATCTGGTTTGATGAGTCTAGGTTTTTGGTTGGTTGGTTTGAGTCTGGTTATTTAATGAGTTTTTGATCAGCCCCCTGAGAGAGCAACTAAGAGAACAGAAATAATCTGGAGAACTTAGTTGATTGTTTTCAGTCAAAATCAGGAGGGAAAAAAAACCTATCGATGAAAAGTTTCCAACAGCTTTTACTGAACGCTCTTCTTCCCCAAGAAGATCTTGGCCCAGTTGTGCCAGGCACTGTGGCTAAGTACAGTAAAAAAGACCAAGGTTCAATCTCCACAGGTTAGTCTAAGCCAGGGACGGGCAATTATTTCAGGCAGAGGGCCGCTTACTGGGTTTTGGCAAGGCATTGATGGCCGCATGACAGGCAGCCAGGGGCAGATAAATATTAACTTTTAAAACTTTTTAGGGGCCCTGTGGGCTGGATAGAATGACCTGGCAAGGCACCTCTGGCCCGCAGGCCGCCTTTTGCCCACCCCTGGGGTAAGCGGTGTAGATTGACCCCATAAGCAAGTGAACAGACATTCACTTTTGATTCAGGAAATGCAGCCACATGCCTGCAGAGGCCCAGGCCAGAAGCTGGGGGGTGTTAGAGCAGGCACCTTGGGCCCAGGCTAGCCCATCCACCCTGGGGGGAACAGGGGTTGCAGGGAAGGTGCAAAGCATCCTGGGATGCTGGGTAACTGTGAGTTAACTTGAATTTGGAGGAGATCTTGGACAGAAGTTCAATAAACCGATTTAACCTAAATCAGTGAAGTCTGACATTACATCCGTCCAGGTTTATCTTAAACCAGTTTGGGCCATTTTTTGAAAGTGGTTTACATGCACTGAACTTAGTTGTATTACAGATTTGTACTGGTTTCCAGTCACTTATACCGGGTTTTGTGCAATGTCTGTCCCTACGTGTACACGCACCGATATGTCACCTGCCTCAGAGAGCTCACCTTTGAAGCAAAGAAGACAAGAGCCGGACAGAAAACAGGCAGGCAGCAAAGGGAAGTCTCTTGGCTGTCCGTGGCAGGTCCCTGTAGTGGGATCTGGCGGTGCTCTGCACAAATGGGGGCTGTCAAATGTGTTGTACACAGGTTTTAAAATAAGAGATATAAACAAGCCAACACCACGCTGCGGATTGAACGCCTCGCCCAAATGAATGAGTTTCCGTCACAGAGATAAGGATTATGAATTGAGGAAAGTGACATAGATTTTCTTTTCAGACCGAAACAAAAGACATGCCAGGCATCTACCCAAAACCTTCCTGCAGCTCAAGTGCAGGGAGAGAGATAACCACTTATCTTTGCAGCTTTGGGTTTTTTTCCCTGTCTTTGTCCTCCTCTTCATGCTGCTGCTTTTGTTTGCCATTTCTTCAGTGTATTTTTTACCTCCCTTCCACAGTTCTCCTTGTGCATTTTGTCCTACTTCTCCAGCTGCCCTTCCCAAACTTTCAGGTAACTTTCCAGTGCTTCCCTTACCCCGGCCCTTCCTTCTCTTCTCAGCAATAACACTGACAAATGCTGCTTGGTTCTTAGCGCTGGAAAAAAAAAGACTCCACAGTCCCATGTTGCAATGGCCCACATGGACCATTACTTTGGTGATGAATCTCTTGAGTGCAAATCCAGTGTGTGTGGCTTCACCAAGCAACCTTCCCAGGGGCTAAGACTTGGGTTTATGCTTCCTGCTACTGTAACCCCTTGTTAGGAAAACAAGCAGCAATTGTCTAAGGTGGCTGGCCATGGAGATGAAGGAGCCTGTTCTTAGTTTTGATGTCTAAATACCACCCTTTGTCCTCCTAAAATGATATGCACGTACACAACCCTGGCTCCAGCAGCAATTGCAGTCTCGTGATAGCTTGACCTCCCTCTAGTCCATTTGAAAAGTGGCCTGAAATGGCTGTAAACAGGCAGAATTGCAAAGGGAGGGAAAGGAATACGGCCAAGTGAAGAGAAATAAAGTTGAGCAAATATTTGCTCGGTGTCAGCTACTGGAGAAATTCCTCCAGCATGAAAACATGTTGAAAATAGAAGGGGCACTCTGCTGCTGGCTTTCTCTGGACTCGAATGAAACACTGGTAATTTTTGCCCTGGGAAGCTCTGAGTCATCCTAAGGAATCGATAAGCACCTCCATTGGCTGATACAAACATTGAGAGCCGGGTTTGCTTTCACCTAAAGTATTTGGCTTGTTGGGAAAGGACTGGACACTTCCAAGCTGCGCTGCTACCAGCCTGAGAGCTGGGACTGCTTTACAGGAGACGCGGAGCGCAAGTCTGTGTTACAGGGAGATGGGGATGGGGATGGGGATCTGGCTGCTGGAGTCGGCAAACCAAATCAGCATCGGGGCGGGTAACAGCTGCTCCATCATCGGTGCGTCTGAATGTCGGCTAGAGCTTGAGCAACTGGATGCTGCTTTCCACCGAATGAATTTCCTTTCCGTATACATGTGCCCCTGATGATGCCCCGAAGTGAGTGCTGAAGCTGTGGCATTTTATTTCACATTTGGGATCGCCCTGCAATTTTGAGGGGTTAAGCTTTCACCCAGGCAAGGCTTGCTTGACTTGCATCTAGTTCCTTTCCGGAGCAGATACATTTCCCCTCATTTTCTGCTGAAGTCAGAGATTGAAGACACTTCAGGATCTGGCCCTGCTGCCTGCCGATCACTCCTAGCACCTCCCTGACTGCTACAGAGAGCAAGGGATTGAAGAGTCAACAGAGCATGGGGCAGGGAGTCAAAAACTGAGGATTCGTTCCCACTTGGCCACGTAGTGACTTGCCAAAGTCACTTTTAGATCTGTTTTTTTGGGACTTCTCTACAACACGTACACTATGTTGGCTTATCAAATGAGGGAGACTTACTAATACCTGTCAAGCACCTTTGGCTTATCAGATGAACAATGTGACGGCCATACACAGATTTTTTCAAATGAATGATGACATAAGGTTTTTGTGTGTCCCCATAAAGCCAGCAGAGATTTCCTATAACAAGCTGGCCTGTCGCTGTTCTGAACTGGGCAGAGCATTGACTCATCTGCCGCTACTATGATAACTATAATTAGGAGAAAATGCGTTGGCAATGCTCTTTCCTCTGATGTAAGCACATCCCTGTCCTTGCAGGGTGCTTCAGATGGGTGTGGGCAGTGAGTGATAGATTATAGTTGGCACTCCATATTTTATGGTGGTGGATTTTCTGGCTGGAGAGGTTACTTAACAAGCAAGTACTGTTCTGGAGTCATCTTTGTATTCCTCCCCTGGATTTGTGCCTCTGTCTATGGCTATATACTTAAAAAAAAAAAAATCAAAATAAATAGGGGTAAACAGAATAACCATAAAAAATATTCTGGTCTTGTGAGCTAATCTGCCCTTTCTTTATTTTAAAAGAGTTTAAAACAAACTCAGCAGAAACTGTTCATTGAACTCGGTCTAAAATCCAGACAGAAAGGGAAGTGTGGAAAAAAGAGACCTGTATTATTCAGTATTTCTATTACAATACAGCTTGCAGGCAGCCAGCAGGTGTTGTGGTTCCACTGGGCCAGGCCATCCACAGACACCCAGGAAGAGAGAGCTCTTGTCCCTAAAAACATATCATTGAAATGGAAAAGAAAGAAAAGTTCATTTACATTCATCAGAAACAGAGGTTTTTAGTGGCTTGCCCAAAGACACACCAGGAGTTTTTTTATAGAGCTGGGGATTAAACCAGTACCTCCCAAACCAGTACCCAGACCACAACACCATCCTTCTTCACTCTTCTGTTTTCCTTTCTTCTTCCATCTGCACCTGCAATGCTGTAGGACTGTCGGGCAGGTTACCTGTGCAGTGTTACATGCATGAATCAAGGGTAAGACAGGCAGACAGAGGAAGCTGAGTCACTGGTAATAAGAGGGCTGCCCTCCATGTACCTTGTTGTTGCTATTTAATTGCAGAACCAGACTGAAGAGGGAAGGTTGTAAGCCAGCTCCTCGGCCTGCTGAGCATCACATACCTATTCCCTGCCTACATCTGGGTCTGATTTGCCAATGACTTGTACAGCCATTTGCATCAGTGCAAAGTAGGTGTAAGGTGCTCTAACAAGCTTTGCACGCATGGGATAAGCCCTTACTTCTCTCTGAGCCTGACCCAAAGCCAGGGAAGCCTCAGGAGGCCTGTCCATTGGCTTCTTTGAATTGTGAACTGGCTACTAACACCTAACCCCACGTGCATCTTCCACCTGTGCTCTCAGTAAAGTGCAAGGACCTTGTGCTTCCACAATGCAAAGACTTAAGAGTTCAACAGCACGTAGCAATATTATAAAGAATAACTTAGCACTCTGGGAATGATTCTCCTGTGCCTTACACCTCACACAGCTTCACAGAATTGAAGATCAGAAGAAACTACGAGATCGTCTGATCTACCCTCCTGTAAAGCACAGACCACTTATGTTGTATGCGGTTACATCCATACTGAGCCCAGTAACTTGGGTTGGACTATAGCCAGTCCTCAGGAGACTTAACTGTTGTATGTCCAAAGGCCAGCAATGGCAGGAAAATGGTTAGGAGAGATACATAAGAGGCACTTGCTTCTATGCAAACAGGGGGAAATCCCTACTGAATACGACTGGTGGCATTTTGCTGCCTTGCGATGATGGTACAAGATGAAGTCAGGTCCATTTTCTCTTAAGGAAGAACCAGTCAAACTAGGATCTTTTCATCATGTGGTCCATAAAGTAGCTTGTTTTTAAAATCACTATGTTTTGTAGCCCCAGCCTCAATATCCTGCCTCTTATGGTCAGACCCAATGGTTCAAACCTGCATTTGGACTAGTTTCCCTAATAGCTTTTGTAGCGCTAAAGCAGATCTAGGTCAGAGTAGCTTCTCTCAGAGATTTCTGATGTAGCACCAGGTGGTTTTATTTGCAAGTTAATAAAAGATTGTGGTTGGCTTGGGGAGAAAATGCAGCTTTCACTGCTGCCTTGTCTCCTTCTAACATCAGCTTTGAAAAGTGCTTAAAAAGCCTTTGTCACTGTTGCGGTTAGTTAAGTCAGTAAGGCAGGCTGCAAGTTGGTTAACAGGCAAGGCCATGTAACTTTGCAGTTTGTGTGTGTGTGTGTGTGTGTGTGAGCGCATGCATGCATGTGTGTGCACATGTGCATACGTGTGCATGTGTGTGTGTAGGGAGAAAGCTTCCAAAACACAGGGTGAAAGACTGCCAATAACTCCTGCTAAAACTTGGCATGGAGCTCCTCACCCGCCCTTTCAGGAAACAAATCATCAATTATATTTCCAGAGGGTACAAGAGTCTGGCATGTTTTACTGTTCTTTTTTTTCCTGTCTTTCTATAACAGGGCTCTTTAGCAAATTTGTAAATGGGTTGGTTCTGTTTTGGGATAACTAGACTCTCATATCTACTGAGATTTGTTCTCATATCTATTGGAAGAAAAATAAAACATTCTTTTTTAATAAGAAAGCTGGACAAAGTCATTTTGAATAGAGAAAGCTGACATGTTTATGAGGTTGGAAAGCATGATGGCTTAATGCCCAGGTATGATATATTCGTAATATTTGTTACACATCTGTACACTGTCCAGTCCCTGGGGTGGGGCCCCTGGCTCTGGGTACTATCCTAAGAATAAATAATGATTAATTCTCCATCCTGTAAGACATTCACTTCCTTTTCAGTTTACAGCACAGAGAGTGACCCAGGCTGAAGTCAGTGGGCTACACCAAAGCACAGGGATCCAACCCACATGTTGCACATTTCACAACTGGGCCCTACATTTGTAGGGAGAGCTTTGTCTTTGCTGCAGAATTATTCTTCAGAAGCAAAGACATCATTTCCAATCTACTCCTAAATCCAGACCAAAGCCTGCACAGAGCCCAGTTCACCTCATCAATGGGGCTGGTATTCTTAATATAAAAACTAATAATAACATGTTAACCAAGTCCTACCCCTGTGTGTCCTGGCCTGTTTCTTCCTCCCTCTGGATTGATCAGCCCACACCCTGTGCATCTCTCTCACTAGGAAGTTCTTTCCACCTCCTTTCTAGTTGGGTGGTGTAATAAGGTACCTACTTATGCAAGTAAGCCTGAATTACTGCTCCCTTTCTCAGCTAAATCTCAACACATTGCCAGGACAGGGTACCGCAGGCCTGCTGCCTTGGCATGCAAAATTTTCATTTATCTTTTAAATTTTAAGAAGAACAGTTTCTAATAGTATCAACTGTGGAAACAACCAATGAACTGCTGCATGCTCAAATTCACAGACCACAACCTGAGCTAATTCATCTCTCAAATGCTGTGATCCTTGCTATGGAAACACTTAAACAAGGGATTCCTCCCACTATTGGATTTAGGTTAAGGCAGGTGCTTTGAGCATCAGTGGCAGAGTGTGAAGCTGCCATTGCTGTGACCTTTAGCTCTTTGAAAATAGACCTGTCTGACTTGCAAAGGCATGCAACAAAACCTGCCTGACCTGTGTATCTGCATTGTGAAGCAGGAATTGTCATCCGGTCAACTTTAAGGTTCATTTATTTCCCTGTCTCTCTCTTGATCCTTGCAGGCCTGAATCTCGAACCTGGACTGTGATGTTACTGCTGGGGACTTGCCTCCTGTACTGTGCCAGGGTGACCATGCCCATCTGTGCCGTGGCCATGAGCAGTCACTTTGAGTGGGACAAGAAGCAGTCTGGCATCGTCCTGAGTAGCTTCTTCTGGGGCTACTGCTTGACTCAGATTGTAGGCGGGCACCTCAGTGATCGGTACTGGAAATTTCTCATCTATTATCCCTTGCTCAGGGCTTTCAATAAAAACTCTTGGCAAGTGCTTATTGTGTCTACCCCCCCTTCCCTTCTGTCTAACCCCTTGCATTGTGTCTTACCCTTCCCTATCTTAATCTTATCACTAGCCCCTTGGAGGGGAAGAGGGCTGAAAAAAGAACTCCAAAGTGCACTGACCACATCTAGTCCACCAAATTACAGCCCCTGTCAGAGGACTCAAGCACAACACAGCTGCCTGCAGAACTAGAAGCAGTGTAACCACATCTGTATGGTGCTTTTAGCAGGCTAATGCTGGGGGGGTTGTGAGCTAACTGGGCCTGTCGCTCAGTGCTGCTGCTTACCTTGCTTATTGTGCCCTGTGGACATAGCTATGCTGCTTCTGGTCCCAGAGGCAGCCTGTGTGGAGCTGCAGGAAAGCTTTTTGGGATGGATCCAAACTCTACCAACTCAGTTGGTGTCCTTCCATTGATTTCAATAGATTCTGGCTGGCTCCCGGGTGGTTTGGATCGCAGCAAACCTTGTTGCATGGTCCACATCCACTGCTCGCAGGTGGTTAAGCATCTCTCCAAAAGTTAAGCACTGGGCTTGCGTAGATAGCAACTTTCAGATGGTTCATAGCCAACCAGAGAAGGCAATGCTCCCTGCCATGCAAGGAAATCTGCTCCGTACCTCCTCTACAGATCTGCTGTCTTCCTCTTCATTGCAGCCCCTCTGACCCTTTCCACCTTTCCACACCCCAAAATTTCTGCACAGCTCCTCACACATCTGTGCTTGTTCACAGCCCCCGGTCATGTCTGGGTGAAGGACGTGATGCATTGTTTGAGCGGGTTAATGACATTAAAAAGAAAAGCCTCAAACCCAGTCAACTGTATGGCGGGGATCCTAGTAATTACCTGCTTGAGTTCCTTCCTGAACTGCAGTATCGTTGAAGAGGAAGGCTTTCCTGTAAATTCGTGTGCAAGAAACGCATGCCTGGAGAAAGCCATTATCTGTGCAGTACCCTGTGCTGTTTCATTATGTTCTCTAATAGAGTCTGCAACCACGGTGTCTGCAAGAAACTAATGTTAACAGACAAGCAGCGCTGATGCTAAGGCAGATGAAACAGTGAATGCTGTCATCCTCTAAGAAAACAGAGCGGGGCCAACGACATGAATATCCACTGCACTGGAGTTTCTTAGCCATGCAGTTGTGACTGCCTCCTCCTTACATTGCTAAATGGATCCTGGCTGGGGGTGGGAATCTCTGCCCTGCTTGTGAGCTGCTGTCTCCTGCTTTAAACTCCACCTTCTCTCCCAGCTGAAGCCATCCTTGTTTCTATCTGATATTGGCTTCTGGGTCCTTTTTGTGCTTCTCATGTGGCCAGGGTCTAGGTTGTAGCCGTGTTGGTCGAAGGACATGGGCAGACAAGGTTCTTTGGGGAAAGCTGATATCTTTTATTAGACCAACTCAAATAGTTGGGAAAATTCTTCATTGCTATTCATTCCTTCCAGGAGGAGCATGCACCGACTGCAGGTATTTCCTCAGCCAGATGAATAGTATTGATACCCAAACGCTTGCAAAGAAGAATTATTCCAACTACTTGAGTTGGTCTAATAAAAGATATCCAGTCTACCCAAAAAACCTTGTCTGCCTATTGTGGCCTGCATTTAGCACCCATGCCGGTGCCCGAGCATCTCTGAGGAAGTGGTTACCCTGGTTCTTGGCTGCTTAGACACTATAAATGAAGAATCATTTGTCCCAAACAGTGCAAGCTGGAATGCTGTCTTTCATCCCAACTGTGCAACTGCTGCTGGAAAGCAAATGGGGATTTCTCCCATTCCCCTGCTCCCACTCTATGTAGTAGGACTTCCCAGCCCTGCACTGGGTGTAATGCCATGTTGCCCTGCTGCATGCTGCCCTAACCCTATTCTGTGCCTGTGTTTCCTCCTCATGTAATGCTTGCCTGTCTTTCAGGATAGGAGGAGAAAAAGTCCTTCTCCTCTCTGCCTTCGCCTGGGGTTTCATCACTGCTATCACCCCGCTGCTCACTTACGTCAGTTCTGCCCACCTGATTTTTATGACTGCCTCCAGATTCCTCATGGGACTTCTGCAAGGTGAGGACGTACGCTGTGCAGATGGGTGCGTCCCAGCCGTCCAGGAGAAGGCTTATGGTGCAGCTCAGTCTACGGGACTGCAAATAACAGTGAAGTGGATGCATGACAGGGCTGGTTAGAGTGACCTTCTGGATCTGCGCTGCCTTCAGCATCTGGGCTGCTAAAAAAAGCAGATTGGTTATCAGATTGACCCCAGGGAAACATTTCCCCATGACTAAGTGTCACTGTGAGAAGCCTTCATGTAGCAGTTGCTGCAGTGTAAACACTTCATTCTGCTTTTTTCTCTCTCAAAATTTCCTCAGGCACCTGCATTTTGGGTGTTTTTAAGAAGCTTTGATCTCGGGGTCATTTTTCTTCTCCTTACTGAAGTAGGTCTTGGAACTACGTAAGCCTATTCATTGCCAATAGGTTAATTTTTGCTGCTTCTTTGCATATAACCTTTTGAGCTTTTGCCTCCACAATGATGGGTGCCTGATACTTCATTAGACATAACCGCTTATAACAAAAATCACACTGTAAAATATGGTTCTGCAGCAAGGGCTATTTCTCCTTACTTATTTTTAACCCCTATTTTTCCATGTCCATTTTTATTATCTTGTAGTCACATGTTTACCAAGGATTCGATTCATCCTGAATAGCATCCCTCCAGTTGGAAATTACCCAGTGGTTTAGCTATCAATACATAAGACAAAATTGGCAACTGTTTTGGAAGGGTTTAAAAGTTTTCCAAGTATTTTTGTCCCTTAAAAAAATGATCAGTTTTGTGGTGCTGAGCAGGGGTGGAAGTCCGGTGATGTGGTTATATCCTGAGATTCAAATCCCAGCACTGCCACAGACACTCTGCATTACTTTTGGCAAGTCACTTCATTACTCTTTCCCTCGGTTCCTCAGCTGTAAAGCGCTGCATGTTCCCACTTCAAAGTTGGCAGGGCAGATGCAGTCATCTGTTCACCGGGCTCAAAAAACGACACCAGTGGAGGTCACCGAATAGGTGGATACAGAGAAAGTCCAAGCTAACTTGTCTGTGGAGCAATGGGCTCAGTGACTTCATTCTGCAGCGTTATTTTGGATAAGCTGCAAACTTTATTGATTTGCCTGGAGCTATGGTTGGGTTCCCGTTGATTTGTTATGAACTTTCCTATGCATGTCTCACTGATGGTTCACTGACACTTTCCTCTCCATTGACACTAGGGGTTTACTTCCCTGCCCTAGCCAGCCTGTTCTCTCAGAAGGTCCGAGAGAGCGAGCGAGCTTTCACGTGCAGCACGGTGGGGACTGGCTCCCAGTTTGGGTAAGTTCCCATGCTCCCTGGCTTTGAGCAGTGAGTGACAAAGTCTGGGGACAGCAGTGCCATTAATTAGTGGGAGCAATAAGTCCAGCCCAAAGTGCAAAGGGAAGCAGTGTGGCCCTTAGGAAGAGCAAGGGATTGGACAGTTTATTATCCTGTGTTTTGTGCGCAGCTTTTCCACTGCCGTGTCCTGTGACCCAAATATGTCATTAAGCTTTTCTGCACCTTATTTCCTTTCTCCACAAAGTGAGGGCAGCAATACTGTCCTACCTTTGCAAAGCATCCTACAACAGATGATCTGGCTTTGACCTGTGCTGAAAAGGGAAGTGTTTGTATTTCGGTGCATGTGGTTAGCATGCATGTAAGAGGTATGTAAGCTGTGTGTAAGATGCTTTGTAGTGTCTCATTGGCAGCTGTTCCAAGGAAGCAAAGAGATTGATGTGCAACTTGTGCAGGTTAACTCTGTTCCATCACTTGAATGAAGCAATGCTGATTTATACCAAGTGAAGATCTCTGGCCCTGAGTATTCAATTAGGAACTTTGGCAGTAGTAAGTGGATGGTCTGTTGGTTGACAGAGTGGCTTTACTAACAGGGCAGCCTCTCCATTCAGACTTGTGGTAGGAAGGATGAGCCAGTGCAACAGTATGATAAGATGAATCGCTCCCAAAGGCTTTATGAATAGCATGCAGTGACCCTCAGCATGCTCTTACTATTGATTCATGGGCTTGGAGTTTGCCCAAAGAGCCCTATAGGGCTCATGATGTGGCTGTCCTTTTCCTTCCAGGACGCTGGTGATCGGTGGGGCAGGGTCCCTCCTTCTGGACTGGTATGGCTGGGAGAGCGTCTTCTATTTCTCCGGGTTCCTCACTTTGCTCTGGGTTTACTGCATGTGCAAATACCTCCTCAATGAAAAAGGTAATCCCCTTGCTATGCTTGCTCATATTGACAAATGTTCATCGCCAGGCTGCACACGATGAATTCTGTCTGTGCATAGGAAAGATATTTCAGACCTATTAAAGCATCCAAAGCCAGCTAATATGTTTTCACATATTCCGCCGATGGTTCCCCTACTACACAATCATATTTTAAGCAGTTATAATATGAAGTGTTTTTAAGCAGTTATAAAATGAAGTGTTTAAAGGTCAAGGGGCCATTGAGCTAATGTGGTGAAGGGACATGTAGCCAGTGGTGCACAGAGATCACATCATACTTGGCTGCCTTCAGTTTTTCAGCCTGAATGACGTGGTCCCCCTTTATGGCAGCCTTTGACGGGAATCTGGAGCAGGGTTTGAATTCAGGCCTCCAGAGTTGTAGCAACCCTTCTGCCATTGCACGCCATGGGTTTCAAGTCTAGAATAAAGTAGATACAGTGCATTTGTGTAGACAATGAATCAGTGTATCTTTGAATTTCTCTCCTGCAGGACTCATCATCCCTTTTGAGTCTTTAGCGAAGGGCCTCTCATTATCCAAACGCACCAAAGTCCCATGGAAGAGGCTGTTTAAAAAGGCCCCTATATGGTAAGTACATGTCCCCGAGGCAGGGGGTGCATTCACTGCGTCCCTCTCTCAGCTTGATGCACAGACTGGTTTTGCTGCCAAGTTGCCGTCATTCATTTCACATGAGCAAGTCTCTATGAGGTGAGGTGTGCACTGAGAGTGTGGTCATTACTCTGAAGGTAACTCCAGAGTAGCTCACCCCTGAAGCTGCTTTGCATTTGCCACACACCCTTACCACAAAGCAACGCAGGTGATGCAAATGCACATGATGCGCTAATAGAGTCAAGTCTCTCTGTGCACTTGGGTGTTACCTGAGGCAGCCTCCTCGTACCGCCAGTCCTTTGTGCGTCGTCACAGCCGGCATGCAGGTGACAGCCACTGCTAGTAAGAAGTCAAGGGCTGTTCGAAGGGCATGGGTGCTGCAGTCTTTGTTTGTGGTGCAGAGAGAAACCACCCTAAAATGCCCTTTTTCATTGTCTCCTTTTTTTTTTTTCAAATAAGCAAACTCTGGAAACATTCAGTGCTTGTAGATTAGGGCTCTGAGTTTTATACTGAGGATCATCCAGCCTGGAAGCGAAGGGGCGGGGGGGTGTTTTGTGTTACTTGTGGCTATTTAATGAAGGCCTAGTACAGGAGTTGGGGAGACTTGTCATATAGGGGGCTCCAATGATAGCTAGGAGATAGGAGGAGGGCCCTTCTAGCCTTACTCCTTCTATGAAACTGAGGACACATGGAGCATACTCCAGGGCTCTGGGAGGGGAACAGAGGACTCACAAAGGAAAGTGAAGCTCTTCATAACATGAAGGCAGTAATTCTCCCTTGCCTGGTCACAGGGTGGTATCCTGCCAGATGCGGCTCTTTTCTAAACCTTGTGTGCCAGCGGTTAAGTACAGACACCATTCTGCTAGCTACATGGAGGTAGTACTCGTTATCTCTGGAAACATCTCCCAAAGCCATTGATAGGTTAATTCATAAGCCAGAGATTGCCTTGAAATATTGGGTCGTTGGGATTCCCTTTTCCCTTCTGTGTGATCTACCGTCTCTAGCGCTGCTTTCTTCCATTATACGTATTTGCAGGGCTGTCATCGTAGCTCAGCTTTCTACCGGCAGCACGTTTTTCACCCTTCTCTCCTGGTTGCCAACCTTCTTTAAGGAAACTTTTCCTGAGTCCAAGGTAAGCAGAAGAGGATCCGCGAGTGCAATACAAACAGAGGTCCGCAGGCTTCTCCACACAGCCACGTTGCTCCCGTTAGGACTGGGAGTCTCTTCACTGATTTCCATGGGCTTTCGAAGAGCCCGCACAAAAATGATCCTCCTGTTCTCCGAACCACTAACACCTGGAGGTCGATAGGGGCATTTTTCCCATCTCGGTTTTCATTTTGATTGGCCCAGTCCTTCTGTTTTGTTCTTTAGAGTTTGCCCAAATTTTATGTGGGCTCCACCTTGCCCCAGGGATCCCTGTAACAAGGAGATAGGTGTTGGGGAGTAACACTCAAGTTTACTACAAATGGAAACCATGGAACCAACCTCCCAAAAAATAGCATCTTTTTCCTTACCCCTGGCTTTCTTTGTGGCCCAGAAGGTCTGCTTGGAGCTGGGGTAGGAGAGTGCCCGTAGGTTTAGATGAGGGAGAAGGATGGTGGCAATAGGTGTTTTGGGGGGGGATCAGGCTGAGAGGAAGGGAAAGTGGGTGAGGTTTTTTTGGAGGGAGGTGGAGTGCTCTCCCCCTCATTTCCCCTGCATGTATCTCTGGATAAATGGTGGCTGCTACATGCCTATACAGCTGATTTTTGCAAGTGAGGGCATTGGCAAGTCTGGAGCATTGGTTTGATACGTGTCAGGGTGCATAGAAGTTTGCACCTCCCGCACATCCCTGCTCCTCTAGGTCCTGACACATGGGCCCTCATACCTACTGGATCCCATTGCAGGCCCCCATCCATAGCGCTTAGCTATGCAAATACACGGATAGCCCAAAGAAGTGATGCTCCTTGGGCTTTTCATCCCCTTTGGCATCAGCTTGCTGCTCTTATCTCCCTTAGGGACACTTTTCTCACAGGGTTGCACGTGGTCTCTAGGTTACCATGTCCCTGGGAAAAGGATGGCTTTCAAATTGCACAGAGCTCACAGGAGCAAGCAGTTTCAAACAGCCCCAGGCTCCCGTGCTCATGGGGGGCTTTGTAATTGTTGCCAGGCTCGGAGGCGCCTTGATAATAATGATCATTAATAATTAATATGCTCTCTTTTTATCTATAAAGTGCTGAAGCCCAAGGGCTTCTCCAGGCTCAGCGCAAACACTCCCACTGTACTGAAACTGGGGTCTGAGTCTCTTGGGTTAAGAGGTCATATTTCTATGAATAATTTGCCTCGCAGAGATACTCAGATTATCTTCTCTGTGGCAGCCCTGTCACGCATTGCTGTCACTTCCCTTGCCACTTACAAATATCCTTTTAACATTACATGTGCAAGGCACTTTATGGCACGCATGATATTTATATTGCAACCACGTATTGAGCCAGCAAGCCTATTGTTGTAACGAGAGAGCTGCGCACCTCTTACACTGGGTTTGTGTAGCAATAATTTAACCATCTGTTAAGCATCAGTTCCTGGTGCCCTAATGCAAGATGCTGCATATAATGTTCCTGCATCTGGCCATCGCTTCATAAATATTAATAAAATGTGGACACATGTTACTTGAATTTAAAGGGTTGACAAAGGAGGCTTACTGTGGTAAAACTATGTCACCTACTGGCCAAATAGACATGCTGCAGGTGAGCTGGTTTTCTTCCTTTCTATACCTGGTGAATACTGAGCCCACGTCAAGAGAACCCTACAGTTCGGGGCCCATGTTGAACCCAGCGGGTTCTCCAAAGCACTGAAGTGCATTAGGTGCCTAACTCTTATTTTCAGCTCTCAGTGGATATGTCTCTAAGTACCTAAATACCTCTGAACATCTGGCACTTGATTCTGTAGGAGCCTGGGTTTCACTGAAGGCCAATGGGGTTTAGGCTCCTAAGCTACTTAGGTACTTTGATCTCTCCAACTGAGAAAACCTGATACATCTGTGAGTGAAAAACAGCTAACAGCAACAATTCCCAAACAAGACATTTCTTACCGGGCTCAGCACCCTGGCATTAGATGATTTAGTCCCATCCTCTCAGCTTCACAATAGTGCTGCTGATATTACAGAAGCTGAAGGCTGAATTTAGCTGGCACTTCTATTCATCACCCGGGAGGCTGAATCAAGCGTGCAGCCTTGTTTCTCCAGGTATATCGGTTCAGGGCTGCAGGAAACGTTTTTTTTTTACTAGTAGCCTTTACTATTGTCAATAAGTACAGTTATGCCTCTCAATCACTGATATAAAGCCACTCAGTTATAATAATAATAATTATATAAATAGCATTGTAACTGTGCATGGTATGTGATGGGCTTTATCCTGGGGTGCACTGATCTAAAGCCAGTCGGATATAATGATAATTATGTATATAGCATCGTAACTGTGCATGGTATGTGATGGGCTTTATCTTGGGGTGCGTGGACTGGGACAGAGAGTGGGTGGGAAAACATTGTGGCAATGTAGTTTAAAGCTCCTGCGTTAGGTGAGGGCAGGGTGAATTGATATCAAATGAGTTAGCTGCAAACAAGCCCTCCTCTGGTAGCAGGAAACGGCGTTGCTTTTGCAGACCTCTGCTGAGAGAGTCTCTCCTTCCCAGGGCTGGGTGTTTAACGTGGTTCCCTGGCTGGTTGCAATCCCGACAAGTCTGTTCAGCGGGTTCCTCTCTGACCACCTAATCAGTCAGGGTAAGAGACCCTTGGGGTTTTCCCCAGCTCGATGGGAAGAAGTGGGTTTGTTGGAGGGGGAAAGGGACTGGATTTGTTCTCCTGGGAGATACCCAGGTCCCCTGCACCTTTGCAGCTCCTTGTCTTCTCTGGGAGTCGTATGCACCCAGCAGAGAACCAATTCTGCTTCTGTGCATTCATTTTACCATCCACGCCCCTGGCACAAGCACAGAGCTATCTCTGTTAAAGTCTTCTTGACGGGAACGCTACCTTTTCCCTTTCAGGGTACAGAACGATCACTGTTCGGAAGTTCATGCAGGTAAGGAAGCGAAAGCCTGTGAGTGAAACAACCGCTGTCTCTGAGGCTGACATGTAAAATAAGAGAGCTACCAGTGAAAATCAGATTAGATCTCATAGGGGAGCTAGAGTCAATGCTTTGATTGCAGAAAGGATGGTGGGAGATGGGCAGGACGCTCAGTAACGGGCATCAGTGGGAAGGAGAATACAGAGATAGGGCATGGGGTTGTGCTGGGGCTTTGACATGCTATTATGCTTCAGCAGGGCTTGGGGATTTGTGGGTGTTATTGGTGGGGGGTGGGGGGGGTTTCCATAGAGAAAAAAACAACAGCATCTTTTCCCTCTGAGTGACTCTCTTCATTTTGCATGAAGGCAAATGTCAATAGAAGAATGAACAAGACTAAAATCCCCATGTGCGAGGCCCCCGTGTCATGTTAACCCGCTACTCGGCCTGTGTCTCACGAAGTGGCACCTGCCTGAGCAAGCAGGCAGAGGCTTTCCAGGTTGTCTGTAGGCAAAGGCAGCAGACGGTAGAGATGCCCACGGCCACATGCAGTCGCTCTGAAAGTGAGACCAGTCATGCAACACGGCCCTGCGCCTCTGCTGAGACACAGAAGTTGTTAGCCTGGGTGCAGCGCTGTCCTGGGTGTGATGAGCAAGCGCAAGCGTGTAAGACGCTTGGGGGAATGTGGAGGTGTTGAAGTTGGGAGCACTGCTTCAACCTCATCACTGGATGCCCCTTACGCTTCAGAATCGCAAACCTGTCTGCTTCTCATCACAGCACATCCCTTGGATTTTCATTTCTTGTCCCTGCAGGTCATCGGCTCAGGAGTATCGAGCCTTTTTGCCTTATGCCTGGGTCAGACCTCCAGTTTTTGCAAAGCGATAGTATTTGCATCTGCCTCAGTTGGTCTTCAGACCTTTAACCACAGGTAATTCTAGAGCAGCGACACTTAGCTTCTGAAAACTTACGTATCTCTGAATTAATTAGTCTATAAGATGCAGCTCTGCCCAGCCTTCTGCCAGACTTCAGGTTAACATAGCTAACTACCTTTCTTAATTTCTACAGAGAGCTTTTCACAGGAGGCCTTATGGTCCATGGAGAAATTGAGATGCAAAGAGGGAAGTGACTTTTTAAGAGTCACTTTTCTATCCTAAGCAGGTGATTAACCATAGGTACTAACTTCCTTTGGATTTGCCTTTTCTTGTTCTGTTCATATCTAGACTGGGTGCCTGTTTGGGTGCTTTGGTCAATTAGTGCAGTAACAGGATAAAACTCTATGGCCTGAGTTACCCCGGGGCTCAGAGACCTTGAGAATCCATGAAGCTAAGCACCCAACATGGGTGCTGGATATTGGAGTCCAAAGGCCAGGAAGTGAGAGCCTGTGAAGGGAAGCCTGTGTACTTATTTGAGCAGGGAGAAGAGTCCTGGCAAGGTAATGGTGGTGGATTTTAGTAGGCTAAAGATGAACATGTGCAAAAGAAGCTGAGTTTTGCTCTGGTCCTCCTAGAACATCTTCCCAGGTAGCTATGGCCATCTAGTCAGCCCTGCATCACCTGTGCCTTTCCACTCGTACTGAAGCGCTTTGCTGCTTCTTGGCTTGGGTGTTTCCAACAAGCCATCTCTTGGTCCCCACTGGTTCCACCCGCCTTCTCCTTTTCCGGTCATTTATTGGGCATGATTAATGGAGTCTGTGGTGCAGGTGTATATTTGATGTAATAGTTTGATCCTTTGGTGTATAATTGCTCTAATTAGTAACTACAATTGGGGAAAAATAGTTTCAGGGGTGCCAACTGGATTTCCCTGAGCTGGGGATATTATTCAAAGTTTTTTTTTCACAACCCCATTAGCAGAGAGGCAGTTAACCAGGTTAATCTGAAGTCAGGCAGCAGGCAGGGTACATTTTGCACTTTATTCTTATCCCATTACCTGGATTAGAAGTTGTGACCCCTTTGTCCCTGTGGGTTTATTGATTGCTTGCCTCTCCTTCTGTTCCCCTTCATGTAGCAAGTAGCTTGTTTGCCTTGTGGTTTCCCCTAACACCCCCCCGCCCCACATGTCATTTCTCTTGTGTTTCTGAACAGCGGCATTTCTGTCAACGTGCAGGATTTGGCGCCATCCTGCGCTGGCCTGTTGTTTGGTGAGGATGTATTTTGTATGGTTTTTATCCACACAGAAAATACAGGCATGCAGAGAGGGGATCCTTCCCATGGGAAGTGTGTTCACACACACACACACACACACACACACACACACACACACACACACACACAACTGAGGACAACCCAGAGCCTGCACTAGAGTTTCCGGCATGGACAGGGGGCTGAGTTTGGCTATGTTTGCTGACACCCACAGCCAGCTTTGCAGCGGCAGAGCAGCCACTCATTGTGCATATTAAAAAAAGGTTGACAAGGACTGCTTCGCTGGTTTTCTCTGCAAGTGCATGTCCCAGAGGGAGCAAGATTTGGAAGTGGAATAAGGGGTGCATGTGGCCATGGCACAGACCTCTGCTTGTGCTCATTCACATGCTCTCACATGCCCTTCGCCAATGCAGGTCACTATATGCATGCCCTTCAAAGAGCCCAACACTCGAGCACAATCAGGGATCGGATAACTAACAAGGGTTAGTATTTCTAGTGAGCATTTCCAGAGAGAAAATTTTGTCCGAGTCCAAAGCAAAGCCACGGAAGAGGTGCAGACGATGGTAAATGAGCACGTCAGCACCTAGCAAGTATTTCATGCTGAGAAGCAATGCACGTACTTTGATGTGATGCAGTGGTTTCTGGTTCTTCTCCATACAGGTGTTGGAAATACTGGTGGAGCCCTGCTAGGTAAGGGACTTTGTTGAGATTACACCACCCATGGGGACATTTTTTACAGCTGGTGAAGCTGACATGTTGGGGCAAGGATCCATCTTGGAGCTCTCACTTACATCTCCCTTCTCCTCTCTCTCTGCTCAGGTGTGGTTTGTGTGTACTTAGCCGGACATCTCATTGAAACAACTGGCTCTTGGATTTCTGTTTTCAATCTCGTGGCTACGGTTAACATCATTGGACTCTGCACATTCCTGATTTTTGGAGAGGCCCAACGGGTGGACACTGTCTCTGCATACATAGATCTGTAGTCCCTGTCTAGAGGAGCTTAGCAAATGACGGCCATCAAGGAGGTTTCAGAGTGTTGTATCTATTTATCGCAGCTGGGGAAGTGATCCTTTGCCAAAGAAATGATTGTTTCTTTATACAATTTAACAGGAAAAAACAAAACAGAACAGAGAGGTAATATTACGAGCCTGAATGAGACCTATTGGAGGGGAACCCAGCATTAAAGTTTTGCTTTGGGCTCTGCCTGATGGTCTTCAGAGCCTTTTGCCTTTCTATCACCCATGTGAGTTTGACCCATGCCACTGGTGACTGAGGAAAGTAGCTGCTGGCTCATGGTAAATGAGCTGGTAGCTTCAGTCTGGTTCCTAACGTGGCAAAAAGCACCACCCCACTTGGTGTTTAATGGTCCCTTTGGTGACAGAATCAGCCAGGGGAGAAAGAGCCCTTTGAGAGCAAACGGCTGTCATCCAGGACCGAGCGGAGGAGTCTGAACAGAGTGGGAATCACATCCTCCAAGTGTCCGTCCTCGGCTGTTCTGGACCTGAATGAAGGACTTTAGTTTCCAGGGCTGCCAGTCGGTATTTGGCACCAGCACTAAATGAACTTAATGATCCAAAGGACTGGACCTCAGCCCTTAGCTCGCCCTTGTATGCTGAAATATTGCACCATGCACAACAGGGACTGCCAGAGCATACGAGAGAGCGGGTGAAGAGCCAGATTATGGCTTTGTCCATTCAGTGAATTTCCGACACAACGTCCATTGCGGGCAATGGACGCACAAAGTCTTCTTCGAACTGTTTAGCCGTACGCTGTGAGCGTATCTGACGAGCGGGTCCATTCTGTACTATAGATGCATACTATCAAGCGCCTTCTCCTTGATTAAGTGTATTCCCCGTTTGCATTCAGAGTTATTCCAAAGAGACTGAAAAGTGTTTATATGGTAGGGCTTATTTCTGCTTCTGAATCCTTACCAAAGGGAGATAACTAGCCATAGATGCTTTTGAACCTGAATATCTCAATTATTATTATTTATTCTAAATGCCAAAAAGACATTAATCTATTTGATGCATGCAAAGGCAGATTTTGCACACCCGGTTGTGTAGAACGCCTATTAAAAGTCAACAGTGGTTCAGGAAAGAAAGGCTTTAAACACCCTGCAATGTTGCTCTTGTAGGACCTCTGCTACATATGAGAGTTAATGCAAAATCATTAAACCTTTTCTGCACATGCCCCATCCTAAGAGCTTAAAAAGTTGCATTTGTTCATCCTCCGTGTGTGTGTTTTTGAGGTTTGGATGGTGTAGGACCACATCTTCCAAGGCATTTCACTCTGGCTTTCATCTTCAGGTCTCTGTCAGATTAGTTGTTAGTTGGGAAGCTCACAGCTAGGTCTCAGTCTGGTGTAAAACAGCATTGTTTCAGGGTGCAGAAAAGTGACAGTTGATATCAATTGCTGATCTGGCGTTCGCTGTCCCAATTCTGCACTCAAAAAAACCTATGCATGCCAAATCTGCTCATCCAGATTTTTTGCCCCCTCCTTGTGAAATTTCTGCTCAGAACATATTTTACAGCCAAGTTAAATGTCTAAATACAGAGATTGCTAATGAAAATCCTGACAGCACTTTTAACTACAGAGATGTCAATGGGTGCCACTAGTATACTGTGAGCTTTTAGCTATAATGCTGTATCAGCAGATAACGGAGCTGCCATCCAGTGTCATCCCGGCCATTTATAGCATGCTTGTGACTGGGGTTTGAGGCCAGAGAGATGAGCGCTGTCTTTCTTGTGTGTTTTTTTTCTCCCCTCGTGGCAGGCTGCTGATGTACACCAGTTGCCCCATATCCTTGACAGATGAACACTGCTGGGGGTGTTTTAAAACTGGCAGGAAAGTGAAAGGTGATGTGGTGGCTATTAAACAGACCTTGCAGAAGAGACCACAGGGCTGAGTCTTTGAGATCAGACTTTTCTTCTCCGGTCAAGCATTTTGCTAAAAATGAAGCGGGAAATCACAAAATGCACCCATTGTTGCATCCTACGTTCCCAGCCTCGTGGGGCTCTTTGGTGTTTGAGTAGGCCCTGGATGGCAGTATTGTGAAGAGCTTTAAGGAGATCTTCACTTTTATTCAATATATGCTAGCCAGAAATATTGCTGTTCATGGCCAAGACCTCAAATTAGCCTTTTATTGCTTGAGATTCAATATGTAAATCAGGAATGGTGTCAGGTTTGAACTACTTACAGAGAGGGTAGAAGTGGGAGACATGAGAAAGTTTATCATCACATATAACTTTGCAACATTTTAGTTAAACTCATACAAACCCTTGTGTTTCGCTCTTCTTTCAATTCAGTTTAGTTTAAATCGCTTAGGGATGGGCATCACCTAGCTCAATATCCTGGAAGAAGCCTAGTTTAAACTGAAATGAGTCTTCCCCATGCAGCCTTTTGCACATGTTAAACAAGATCAGTGTAAAGCTATGCTTTAATTGCAACCAAGGCACATTTGCATGCGAGCAAACCTGAATTTCCCAAGCTCTGGGAAATTTTCAAGATGAGACCTTAGCAACAAAACCCCAAAACCAAACTAGCACTGCTGGCTGTGCCATCTTTAGTCTTTTCATTGGCAGCTGACATTTTGGTAGGTAATCTTGGATTATCAGTCTGTATAAATATACTGCCCTGGTATATCATATATCTAAAGGGGGTTTGATGCATATATTTCATGCATTTTGGTAAGGTATCGACACCATTTTTACATGGTTGTATTTTTTTTAAACAATCTTGCCAAGTCTTGCTTGTTTGATGTTTTTTGCTGCAGTCAGAAAGACCTATAAATAAAGGAAGCCAGTCAGCTGGACAAAGTCTTGTCTTCACTTGAATACACAGGTTTTGTAAAGATATTTCGGTGATTTTTTCGACCATGTTTGATTCCTCTGCATCATTTCTGCACCTTATGAATTTCAAGCTCCAGCCTCAAACCAGGCATTTGATCCTATAAATATATGCTTTTTACAGAAGGATGCTACAGATGGATTCTCACAAGTCTAACTGGATCCTCATGTCTGAACATTGTTGAGGAATCTTGAATCCTGGAAAGATTTAATTGAGGTAGCAAGGACTTTGTGGGGTAAGGAGAGAAAGACAGGGCTTTGAAAATGTCTTTGTGTTGTTACGGGGATACTAATACAATAGCATTTCATTATGGGAAATCTGGGTAGCTCAGTCTGCAGACTCTGCCCATTGACCTTGGCAATGGGGATCTGAATCAGGGATATACAGCATACATTTCCATGAGCTCGGGCTCAGATGCTGTGAAAAGATGTGCCCAAACCGGTGTGTCCAATTAAGAGAGTGATTTGAATACAGAAGACAGAAAGGGAGAAAGGGAAAGAAGCAGGGGGCAGGGTTAGTGCAAGGAAAGGCAAGCAATCAATATACCCATAGGGACAAAGGGGTCACAACATCTAACCCAGGTAATGGGATAAGAATAAAGTGCAAAATGTACCCTGCCTGCTGCCTGACTTCAGATTAACCTGGTTAACTGCCTCTCTGCTAATGGGGTTGTAAAAAAAAAAACTTTGAATAATATCCCCAGCTCAGGGAAATCCAGTTGGCACCTCTGAAACTATTTTTCCCCAATTGTAGTTATTAATTAGAGCAATTACACCCCAAAGGATCAAACTATTACATCAAATATACACCTGCACCACAAACTCCATTAACAACGCATGTCCCTTCTCTGGGAACGTACTGTCCATCCCATTTTCAAATAAGGAGGGCCAGTCACAAGAGCACCATCGTGGCCCAAGGAAATGTAGGGGTATTTGAGGTGTGAGGGGAGTTGGGAATAGTTTTCACTTGATAATCCTGCTGTGTGACTGACCTGGAGACCATAAGACTCAACATCCCAGTTTGGAACAGGCTTGCAGAAAATGTGATAAGTTATCAGATCGTTCAGCTTTAATGCAATCCGCACACCAAACTTATTTATAGAAGAAAAACCTTATTAAGGAGAGGTAAATCCCCCTGCAGCCTTTTGTATTTTTGTTCTGTTCTTCTATGTTTAAGGCATTCAGTAACATGTGCAAATCAGCAATGGCGTGCACCATTGGCCCATTATGCACCCAAACATGGCAACGACATGTGTAAGAGAGGCATTCGCATTCCTGTGCATGGCTCTGAAAAGCCCTGGTAGATGAGGGTGAGATGGAGCTGCTGGATTCTCAGCAAAGCTAACCAACATAACAGTAACACGGCTACAAATTGCATGCAAGATAACAAGCATAATGTTCTCTCCCCTGTATGTAACTCATAATCTGTCAGTATGAGTTACCTTCCTTTAAAAAAGGCTCATTTTTATTCTACATAGCTTGGCAGCATCTCTTTAATTGGCTGTTTAATTATCCAAAATAATAATAATAATAATAATACATTCTTATCTGAGAATTTATGCATCTGAATTTCCCCGTGTTCCTATTAGTTGCGATTGTCTTTTATTGCATGTTTAAGACTCTCCAGATAGTAAAATTCCTGTATGTTAATCCTTCACAACTCGCATTTTGAGTTAAGTCAGAGAGCGCTAATTACTACTTATTTTTAATTGCACAAGTGACTATGTTAATCACCAGCTGAGTAGAGTTGTCCTTGTGTGTCTTACCCAACAGAGATCACCTTCAATAAGGAGAGTTCTGTAAAAAAACCATCTTTCCAGTCCGAGCTAATAGGTTGGTTCAGATTCCAACAGAGGGAGCTATTAGATTTGGGATACATCAATTCACGTCTAGATTGAAAACTTGTTGACTTGGTTCTGAAAATCTGGAGAAAACGGTGCAATTAGGATTTGAGTTGTTTCCTTGGCCCTGAGCATCCAGAAGACAGGCAGGAATATTCCCTTCTGAAGTTTCTGACCTCAGGTATTTGTATACAGATACAGGCACATCCTTCCCTGGGTATATTCTGTTACTTGCTTTTCTTCTTCATATGCATGTTCAGCTATTCCTAGGAGAAATGAGCTTAAGGAGACATTTTACTGGGGGTAGAAATAATTGTAAATAGCAGCTGAAACCTGAACATTCCCGTCCCCTCCCAGATCTGTAACAGCCTGTGTGTCTGGGCATTCAGGTTTAATGTTTCACCCTTGCCCCTTTGGGAAACAAATGATGAGTACAGGTAAGGAGTTGTTCTGGTATATTAGGAGGGGGAGTCAATAGGGCTGTTTCTATTTAAATAGTCCAGAGCATATTCAGCAGATGACACGCGCCCCAGGGTGCTGGATAGATAGCTTTCAATTGCAACTTGCATGCCTTTACATCAAATAATGCATTTAAGCAAAGTAAATACAACCACGATGAAAATATCTGCGTTGGGAAAAGATGAGCTCAGATGGCAGCGCTCTTTTCTACTGGCACTTTCCTCCAGTACTCTGAAGTTGGATTTCTTCAGGAGAATGGACAGCGCCAATGCCCATCAGAGCCAACGGGCCCCCCAACTTCCAGGGGCTCTGGAGCATGCCCCAGAGACACGAGCACGATAGCTCTGCCACAGACACCTAGCACGATAGCTTGCAAAATGCCAGCGTTTATTGCCGCTGTGACCTACTGCACACCAGGTCACGAGGAATTTTCCATTTCAAACTTTAATGTAATAATTAAGATGTCTATTAAGGCCTTTACAGATTGACTGCTTTGTAATTAAAACCTTGGGGGGAGGGATGGGAGTGCAGCAAAGGGCATCAAAACCCTTGCCAGTAATTTGAAATCGCGCCCCCCTCCCCCTTGGTTTCTCTGCGTTTGTTTGAAATCGCTTTCTGTCTCTATGTTTTTGTTCATCGTTTGTTCTCACCCTAGGTGGTGACCAAAGAAAATCTAGGGAGCATCAACAGCAGCCTCTGAGAGCATGGATGTGACTGGTCTCACTAAGACCATAAGGAAAATGACTTTTCAGGGTGGTTGACAATCTTTGGGGCTCCATTCTGGCAGAGCATGGAGAATCACCTCTCTCCCCATCTGTCTTGTCTAGTTGGACTGTAAGCTCTTTGGGGCAGAGACTATATATGACAGTGGGTATGTACAGCAAAAAGCAACTAGCTGTGCAGGGGCCCACATCTTGAAGGGATGCCTTATAGGATATAAGAATACAACACACAACTATTAGGATGACACTTCAGTGATTTCTCCTATGGGCCCAGCACTCCAGCCCCTCTGATCAATGCTGGATGAGGGACATGCTAGCTTTTATTCCAATAATGAATGGGGAGAACACCCTCGTACAGTGATACAATACCTTATCGCTCATTCTAAGGACTGAAGATAATGAGGACGAATCCTAATACAAGTTTCTAAGTGTCTATGTGAACTAGAAGTCTACTCAGAACCCATGGAATCACAACTGTCTAAATCCTGGTGTATGCTTAAAAAACACCCACAACTCCCCAAAACTTGAGATTTTGGTCAAGGTTTTAAATATAGCTGCAAAGTCTCCGAGCGTGCAAGTAGATGCTGCAGAAGCATTAAGGAATCGCTGGAATCCCTTTCCAAATCCCTCCCTCCCATTTTGTACCCCTGCCCACCAATGCAAGTCATAGTTTCACAGTTTCTAGGGTCAGAAGGAACCTGAGCAGATCATCGAGTCTGACCCCCTGCCGTGGCAGGAAAGAGTACTGGGGTCAAACGACCCCAGCAAGGTGTACATCCAGCCTCCTCTTAAAGACCCCCAGGGTAGGAGCCAGCACCAAGTCACTCCTGCGTGTTCAAGTCAAGACCCTGCGTAATCTCCCAGAGCTTTGTCATGAACCATTCTCTAATAAATAGTTTTTAATTTCAGCTCCGAAGGAGAAAAAAAAAAATCCCATTTCAGGGGAGACAGTGGGAAGGTACACGTGTAGCAATTATCTGCAAGAATTTTATACAAAGAATTATAAACCTACCAGAGCATGTCCTGCATTCTCATTAATGGAAAAGAGTTAGCAGGTGACAGGGGAATTTCCAGTGCAACTATTTCGGCTCGTTGCAGCTGTTAACTTCCTTTCATGTTTTCTCTCCCCTATCGAGCGTCCTATAAAAACGCTAATTTATAATCTCTCCTGTGTGCATGTGCGAGTTGGAGTGAGGGGCACACTTTCTGAAAAATGATTGTCGGGCCTTTAAGTGTCCTGTCTCTCGGCATCTCTCCTGGGGCCAAGCTGAGCGAACGGCACTAACAAGGCACCTTCATGCTTTGGGATTACCGAAGCGACGTGGGCTGCCCTCTCTCCCTCCAGAAAGAGCCCAGTCCTGCTCTCACACTCTGCCATCCTTGGCTAGCTCCGCTGACTTGGATGCGCTCGCCCCTGCTGCGTACCAGGCAATGGGAGAAGGGAATGATGCCCATAAACTCTGCACCACAAACCTTCTGGAGCCATTGATTTCTCGCACTGACACATTGCGCTGCCTCAGGCCATTGACTCTTGGACTACCTCCCTCCTGCCATGCCAGTCCTGCGTTCCCTTCTCGTGTCAAACGGGCCCTTTGCGAATCCTCCCAGTGCCGTGGCAGGGATGGGATGGTTCCCCTGAGCCGCATCCTCTGCAGTTCCTGGCAGTTTTGCGGCAATTGCTTTGCTACAATTTTGCTTCTGGACACAAAGCTAGGGCTCTTGCAGCAACAAGGGATGCAGAGATGCCGCCATTTTAAACACGGCTCTCCCTGCTTCCTCCGAGGTCCCCAGTCCTGCTCCGACAACACACCGCTGCTCCCCCCCGTTACCATTCCTGGCTGTTCCTTCCCATAAGTCACAGACCTGTTATTTTCTCCTATGCCCTTCATGCCGTCACTTGGTGTTCAGTGAGAATTACACAGGTGCAGGGGTCTGGGCTGGATG